AATTCGCATTGGGAGCATCGTAAAAAGATATCAGCTTTTCTAGAAAATCCGAAAACCATCTTTTGAGCGTATGGGTGGGAGTGGCCGGATAGTAGTACCACTATAAGATGCGCTGGCATCTAAAGATTATACTTTCTGAACTTCAACTTTCTAGCTCTAATAGTTCCTGAGATTTCAGTAATTTTAGTTTTTTGCGATTTGTGGGCGTGGCAGGATGCTGTAATAAACTTGCGCTGCGTAGGGACCTCAAGAATCTTTATGCTTAATCTGAACTTTGTATCTTTTATAATTCCTGAGATCTCAGCGTTCATACGGACAGACGGACATGGCTCATTCGTCTTCGCTATTCATCCTGATCAAGAATATATATACTTTATAGGGTCGGAAACGCTTCCTTCTACCTGTTACATACTTTTCAACGAATCTAGTATACCCTTTTACTCTACGAGTGACGGGTATAATCAGGGAAATACATATTTAACGTAGGAAAAAAATATATAAAACAAAATTTGCATATTACAATTTTTAATTGTATAAACACAATAAATTATTATCAGTAATAAGAAATTTGAAGGTACTATCCGAATGGCATCTTCAAGCACAGTGAGAATTCTTAATAAGATCGGTAAAAGATCGCCTAATACGAATGGATGGAATGTGGAACAGATATTAAACGCTGTACAAATAACAGACGGCTTAATGCTATCGAAAGAAATCGAAGCATCAACGAAAAAGGGCGCGAAATTTATTTCTTAGGAAGATGATTTCGCATTACCAGAATTTTTGTCATTTTGATCCACTAAATGAAAAATGTTTGATGTTATCTTTACAATCTGAAGATATTTGTAGCATAAATCAGTTTAGGCTAAAATAAAGAGGAATGGTTCCAGCTAGATATTTTGAATATTATATATGATTACTGGTATATTGTTGTAAAGGCATACTTTACAATAAGATTAGGGGATCAGTTACCTTGCGTATAATATCAGATTTTCTTTCAACGCTAAGAAGTGTGCATTTCTGTGGACGTAGGTAGAACATCTAGGGAATCTTATTGAAAATGGTGAGTTTAAAAAAGTTTTTAACGTTTTCATTCATAAAGCAATGAAAGTACTAGTTTAGAAATTAGTCTTTAAAGACTAAAATTAAAGCTTAATTTGAATTTGGAGACAGAAATACACTTCAGAATGCTTTAAAAAAAAGTATAAGGGTTTGCCCTTTTATTGGAGCATTTCACAAAAAAGGCCACTCCACCCAGTTAGATCAAAATAGATAGTTTTGAGTAAAAATAAAGTAAATTCGTCAAAAATTTTCAATGTTTTCCTTAATGATCTTGTTGTAATAAGGTGCGTGTCAATTTGGCAATAGTTACAAGGGATTAGCTTAAACCAGAAGTGCAGCGTGATCAACTAATAAAGACAAGACTATGTAGCTTTTGGATCCCAACCAGAATTCAACCACCACTGCAATATGTGGAATTGGATGTGATCCGTTTTTGTGATATTTGTTTGTAATATTGCGTTTACATTTATGAATAAACCTTCTTAGTTTAGCCGCAATAACGATTTAAGATCTGACAGCACTGGTTGGTAATGGGATCCAAATGTCATCTGTCAAAGTGAGAAGTTTTCAGTATACTCTGTCATTTCATCATGAAAAGACTTACAAACGAGGTTATGTAAAGTCTTTAGTCTATGTAGACAAGCCAAAAACGATTAAAGCCCTAAAATAGATAATAATATAGAAATAGGAATAAAACAGACTTCAACAAACTTTTTGATTCTATGATGCCATTTTAAGTGCATTATTCGATTAAAAAAAAAAAAAGAATAAATGATTTAGCCAAGTTCACGACTATAAGATGCCCGTTACTGTTTTATACAATTTTAAAATATTCATTTTGCTTACGTGAAAATTCCAAAGCGTAACCTTTTGTCAGAAAAAACATGTAGAGTAACTGATGGTGTGGCCAGATAATAGAACCACTAAAAGATGCGCTGGCATCCAAAGTTTATTCATAGTGAATTTCTAGCTGTAATAGTTCCCAAGATTTTAGCCATTTAGTTTTTCGCGATTTGTGGGCGTTAGAGTGGGCGTGGCAGGATGCTTAAATAAACTTGCGCTGTTCCGGGACCCCAGGAATCTTCATGCTTATTCTCAACTTTGTATCTGCTATAGTTCCTGAGATCTTAGCGTTCATACGGACGGACGGACGGACGGACGGACATGGCTCAATCGACTTCGCTATTGATCCTGATCAAGAATATATATACCTTATAGGGTCTTAGACAAGACCCTATAAAGTATATAGGTCACAAGGTCAAGACACTGGTGCAAGTGGGAATCCCTGCTCCAACCCGACCAGCAAATGATTGTGAATTGCAACGAGAAACAAACATTGATCCTATCGAGATCAGGACAAAGCGGTGGATATTTTTTCATAGATGCGCCAGATGGTACTGGGAAGTCTTTTCTTCTAGCGCTCATTTTGGCAACCATACAATCACCAAATATTGCACTGGTCATTGCATCATCTGGAATTGCGGCAACTCCTTTAGAATTTGATTTATAAAATACCATTGATTTTACAAAATACTATGGCTCCAATATGCAACATCAAAAAATTCTATGGAATGGGCAAAGTTTTCAAAACGTGTCAAATTATTGGTTTGGACGAATGCACAATGTCTCACAAGAAAGAATTGGAAGCGGTTGTTCGTACACTGTGATTTTTGGTGAAGCACTAATTTTATTGTCTGGTGATTTTAGCCTGCTGGTCAGCCTGCGTCATTACAAAAATTACTTGAAAACCAACATGCGTGTACAACTACAGCATGATGCATCGGCTGAAATATTTGCAAAACAGTTAATGAATATTGGAAATTGATGAATCTACGCAACTTATCACCTTACCAACAAACTTCTGTAAGATCACAGAAAAGCTTATTCAAATTGGTGCTAAAAGTTTTTCCAAACATTGAACAGAATCACAAAAATTACCAGTGGCTATTGTCGGCAGCAGTCATCTAGCTAATACCAAAATTATGGATTACAATTTGTTCAGCCTCACGGTGTACTGAATAATCTTTTTTATCTATAAGACAAGCCGAGATAAGCGCTCGCGAGTCGCCGATTGCTCGGCTCGCCTCATTACATTTCGTTCTCTATCGCTATCAACACGCAGTCGCAGCGCTGCTAAGATAAGTCATAGAAAAAAATCTTTCGACCTTTTTGAACGGTACACGGCACCGCATTTTTTTTTGTATAATTATAAGTTGTGAAACATATCTAGAAACAGGTGGCATAAATGAATGCTCTGCTCCAAACAGCTATATTGGCGGCCAAAAACGTTGATGTTAACACCATCAACATCACTATTCTGAATGGTATACCTTTCGAAATAACAACATAAATCCATCGATACTGTGAAAAATCAGGACAAACTTTTCAACTATCCAATTGAATTTTTGAATTTGCTCGATTTGCCACCACATGTTCATACATTGAAAATAGGCTTACCACTCATTCTCCTTCGAAATATAAATCCACCACGACTTTGGAATGGAACCAGGCTCTTAGTCAAGAAACTGATTAACAATGTTATCGTAACTACCATTTTGACTAGAATATTCAAAGGTGAAGACGAACTGTAGCCACGTATCCCAATAATTCCGACGTATATGCCATTCAAATTCAAACGTTTGCAGTTCCCGGGGCTCCCCCGACTTGCCTGGCAAAGCGAGGAGGGCGCGCTAGTAACTTAATTCTTTCTTGAGTAGTTGTGATAAAAATGCCGATTCGAAAGGGAACGAAGAGGATTTATAGAATCATATCAAACATAATCAAACCTTGATACATTTTTTAACAAAGTAAAAAATTACGAAAACGGCTCTGCACAAAAAAGCAATTGATGAAGATAAAAATAGCAATTAATTTTCAACCCTTCTGTGTCGTAGAAGAAAAAAGTTTTCGTAATGTGATCATTATATTAAATCCTCGTTATAAAATACCCAATAGTTTATTTCGCAATTATTTGCAATAATTTTAAAGAACATTTAAAATTAATTTTGCAAGCATAGAGACCAACTTTCTGCATAGTTGAAATACTTTTAAAATGTAAACACACAAGAGGCGCGAAATGTTCATATTCAAAAACTGGCTATAAAAACTGAAGCGTATAAGAATTCTAAATGCCTGCATTGGTTTTACAAGGTATTGAGTAAATTAACTGCTAGAAAATAAAAAAATTAATTATCTCTTCTTTTAAGATCACTGACTAAGAAATTTAGAACTTCATAGTTTAAAAACATATGAGCGTTCCTGAATCTTCAGGCGATTCAGTAAAGTACAACTGATATTGCGATTGATCTTATGGTATTTTGATATATTTAATAAATGGTTAAACCTAATAAATAACTTAATTTTAAAATATCACTTTGGTGGTCCTGCAGCCTTGAAGACTGGGTCTTCTTCAATACCTATGTATATCCAGATGTGTCCTAACTATTTTTGCTTTATCTTTAAGCCCGATAAACACAGAATAACGAGCTTAAAATTTTGGTAGGTGCATATTTTTCATAAAGCAGTTTGGGCCCTATTAAAATATTATATGGAACCATATGTAAATGTACTGAAAAGTTTTTTTTAGGTTAATATTCCTAAGCCGACAAGAAGAATGACAAGGGCCAAGGTGCCTATTTAGCAAAAAACAATAAATCTTAAAATTTCTTTTGTAAAACTTTAAATGACTTTGTGTTCAGCTAAGGATGCATATGTATTGTATCTAAACATTTTCTTTGTATATCCAATTATTGAACCTACAATACTATTACGATGCTTAAATACTTAAAATATTGGGTATACATTTTGGTTTAATCTTTCCTAGATAAGCAGTAATACGGATTCGAATTTTTACTTTTTGCACGAACTAAGGCACGAGACAAACTAACCTCATTTAGTCACAAGATACTGAAGATATTGGGTTTTTAATTAAGTCTTACCTGTCTGCGAAATGTGTGTTTTTCCTTCTCCAAAAACTTGTCAATCTCTTTTGAGTTGTACCGCTGCTGCAGTTCTTCCGGCGTACTGCGCAGACTTACTAAATACGCGATAATGTCACTGCAGCCGCGAAAGCATGAAAATCGGGAGGTCCCACCCCCAGTAGACGTAGTCGCCTCATCTGGTCCAGTTAACGATTCCGCCCGCGTGTGATCCTCTTCCATGAGATGGGCCAAAGTACCGATGGGCGTGCTGATGCTGTATTCCACGCCGTTGGGGGTGATATTGTAATTGTAATTGGTATGCTTCCATCCGTTAACTAGATTGATGTGCTGGGGACATCGCTGGACAGCTAACGCCTGATGTCAGCCTTTCTCATACACAAACACCAACACGTTATCTCACACACTCGCCGCTGTTGCAAAAGTATGTAATGATTACTACATTAACTTGTTAAATATCATTTAAAAAATAACATGAGTAGCTCGTTACTCTTATTTTTTTATTACAATTATCTTTCATCCAAGTTGATCCAGATTACTAGCACAAATCTGCGTGATATTTTTGGATGGAACCACCATCATAAACAATATATTAAATAATTTTGTAAGCCAATGCTTGTGGGAAGGAATTAATAATAATAATTTAAGATGGTCGTCATTACATACAAGCAAGTACGTTTAAAAAATACGCTAAATGGAACAGTATTGTGTTAATTTTAATGACTGACAGCCAATTTTACTCATCCGATATAAAACAGTGAGATAGAAACTGGCTTATACTCAAATCATACAGATGGCATCTTAGCGGTACTTTGTAGAGCTGTAAACAATTCGATTTTTAAATCGATTTAATCGATCTTTTTGGATAAGCGAAATAAATCAATTCTTTTTTAGGGAATCAATGCATCGACAAATTTGCTCATCTAAAAAAAAAATTAAGTAACCGAAAATAGTATTTTGAAGAAATATAACTCAAGTAAACTAATAAATATTAATCACTTCCAGAATCAGTGTGTGTTGGTGTTAAAGAAAAAAAGGAGAAATTACTAACTATGTTCGTTTTCCAAATAAATAATGTAGATTGTTGTCCGCGCTGGATGTATAGCGTCCTTGAAACCCAAAAACGTAGACATGCCTGTATTCACAAATAAAAGCACATTGTTAAAAAAAAACATTAAAACAAACAAATCAAATAAATTTTTTAATTTTTTAATTTTACTTTTGCTCGGAACTGTAAATTTGGTCTTTTCCCTAAAACTTTTTAAGCAAAATGTTCCTTTTTTTATTAATTTTTTTTCATTTTCGATCTTAAATTGATTTAATCGATCTTTTGAAGAATTGAAAAGAAAAGAATCGATTCTCAAAAAGTAGAATTGGTTACAGCTCTGGTACTTTTGGGATTTTTGACAGATGAGAAACAGCTACCCTCAGCAGAACAGCATCTTTAGAAACAATTTTTAAGAAGTGGATTTATAATTGTACATTATACTCAAATCATACATTTGACATCTCAGCAACACTTTTCCAATTTTTGACAAATGAGAAACACCTATCCTCAGTATAGAAAAGTCTAAAATTATACTGTCACAGCAAACTGCTGCGAAACGGTTGGAACACTTTACAGATGTGAAGCCCTTGTTATCAAATAGCACATCAACAAGTCAGGTATTAACGAAAACGAAACTCGTGGAGTAAACTAACGTATTACATTAAAACCAGAAGAAACGATATATTCGAGTGCCGCGACTATAGGATACCCGTTACTGTTTTATCAAATTTTAAAATAATAATTTTACTAGCCCACATTGACACAGCGACACATTTTTTTAATAAAAGCATGATTCACAACTTATGGTAAGAATAATGGTTAGTACGCGTGGCCAAATGCGAAAAATACATTATAAGAAGTTACATGCTTAATCCCAACATTTAATCGTTTATAGTTACCGAGATCGAGCTTGGTGGGCATTGGCCGGATAATGATACCACCAACGATCCGCTGCCATTTTAAGATAATATTGTATGCTAAGTGCCAATTTTCTAGCTCTTATAGTTTTTGAGATTTCCCCGATTTTGAGGTTTCGTGGGCCAAGTGCCTCTGCTGGCGGAATTTTAATAATAGCTCGGGTAAATAAATATATATTTTATTGAAAATATTTATTTAATTTTCTTAATGTATTCTTGATATATTCTAAAAATATTAATATGTTACCTCAAGTAAATCTCATACATCTCACATAAAAAATATAAAGAATTTTGTAACTTTAAAGTCTTCTGAAATATATATATTTTAAACATTTTAAATTCAAAAAACAATTATATGAAAATAATAAAAATAATTTAAAATAATTATAAAAATATATATTGAGGCTATTCAGAAAAAACCCATTCATAACATCTTGCATCGTATTAACTCTTTTATCTTTCTTGGAGTGGTTCAGTCGTATTCTTCTGAAATCTTTATTCCTGGCTTCGAGTGCCTCTTCAGGCATTACTCCAATAGGCAGATTTACATGGTTTATGGCGTCTGCACCATGGATTAATATATTGTGAATGGACGCGGATGAATACCAAACAAAAATTGGAATCATAGCGGCCACGCAAATATGCTGTGTTTGCCGGCTATGCATGGGCATCCGGCCAGACGCTGTGTCAGCAGTTTTGGTCGGAGCGAGCCGTCGAACGAACGGTCATTGCCGCTGACGGTTAACTTAGTTAACTACTCCCCTTTCAGGAATGAGGCCGCCCTCGGGCGACCCTAGTCTGGCAATCATCTCTTTTATCTGGGCCGTAGTTCTTCTGGCCTGGGTGAATCGCCGATAGGTTAATTCGATGCAGATCAACGCGCAGCATATTGCTCCTGCAATTAGCATTATCTGATATTAGCGATAGTCGTTGACCTCTTCTCCGAATCGTTTGATGTGTTCCAAATTACGTTCACTTAATCGATGAAGGTATGGAAGACTAAGGATGTTTCGTTCCATAGTGACGTTCAGAGAAGGCGAGAGGGCTACTCCCGGAGCCCTTTTCTGGGCTGTGTCATGGTTGACAAATCGGGTTTCGTTGACTGTGGTACCCTGTACGTGGACGTAAGTGCCATTGTCCACACTCACACGAGCCGGGCGATCATTTACAATGACAATTCCATCGTCAACGTAAGTGACGGGATGCAGGCCATTTTGCTGAATTACGCAGTGTGCAGTGCCTCCAGCGTGAAGCTCCTGGGCGCACGAACTTCTTAGCGCCAGTTGGCAAAATTTGGCCCCTGGTGTTACGGAGCAGTTTTTTACCGTGCGGATCTCCCCATTGAATTCCGCTATTATATTGTCTTCCAGTCTGAGAGTGGTGCCATGATGTGACACAGGAAAAACGGTGATTTTGTTGCAGACTGACTTAATTTTAGGAAACTTAATAACAAAATGTAAGATGTTAATGGATTGTAAAACTTTCACGGACGCTACGGACAAAACATCTTCGATGGCGGTCTCCGTGGGCTCTTCCATCCACACACTTTCTAGGTCTGCATGATCTAGTATGCTAGGGCTAACGACATTAATTTTTGCAAGGGCGACTGCAAGCATCAAATTCTGCAGCTCCATTACCATCATCCTATTACGAGTTAGTAACATCTCGTATAGGTGTCCCGTATCAATTTGGGATTCCTTATTTTTTTATTTGGTCTTTTATTGATTTGGTCTTGGACTTTGGTATTGATATTTAATTGCCTATTATTTGCATCAATGAGTTGGAATTCGTTGAATTTAATTTTTTCAAAATCCTCGGCGTCCGGCGTTCCCGCCACTACCTTTAAGGCTTTACCTAGGAAGTCTAAACTCCTGGCTACTCTATGGTGAATGCTCAATGACTCGAGCAGGTCACGCAAGTGGGCGGTATCCGCGCCCAAAAGTTTTTGCATATGCGATTGTGGGAACCTGTTGGTCATTCCGTCTGTCTCTTCCACCTCGCGCCTATACTCCGAGAGATTCGCTGAGTGTCTTACAAATGCGAACTCTTCCCATACCAAAATTCGACCATCAACGATGGGAATGTATTTGGCTTTTGAGTAGTCTGTTATGTACGCCGAAGCTGCGGTCAAGAAGAGTAGCAGGGGTATGATTGTAACCTTGTAATTCGGATATACTGTATTGTTTGTTAAAGACGGGTTAACCCACCACCAAAGCACAGAAAAAGCGGTATGATTAAAAATAATAGTAATGAAAAGCTTACGCCAAGTGGCTAGGGATAAAAGTAATGAAAAATGAAAAATTATCAGGTGAGCGATAACATGGTTATGCTTGGCCTACCTAAGGTTGTCTTTGTGGACCATCCTCCCCTTAATGAGGACTGTGGTCCCCATGTCCGCTTCTACCGTTTGTTCTTCACATAACGGCGAAAGCTTGTTTCCTAGTCTCCTGTTGGATTTTACCAGGACTTTGTCGCCAACATTGAATTTTCTGTTCTGCCGGGAGGCATTTTCCCTGCTTCTTAGCTTATCCTGGGCATGCCTTATTCTACCCTCTATATCGCACTGTGGGTCATTTGATTGAGTGACTACCACGTCGGCAGGCCTCTTACCGATGACCGAATGGATAGATTTGTTGTATTTTGTCGTGGCCAGTGAAATCAACTCTACAGTGTCGCTGAGGCCTTTGTCGATTTTGAGGCATCTAGCTAGTTCCACCAGAGTGCTGTGGAAGCGTTCCACTTGTCCGTTCGAGACGTTGTGGAGGGGCGGCGCATTCGAGACGCTAACGCCGAAGTGGTTTTCCAGCATGGTCAAAATAGTGTGCGAATTCAATGACGGTTCATTGTCGCAATAGATGACCTTAGCTTTGGGGAAAACGTTCAAGAGTTGTAATAGGGCCGGTTTGAGATCCTCTATTGTTCTAGAGAGAATCGGTTGGACCAATGCAAATTTTGAAAACTTGTCAATGCATGTGAGGAAGTATTTCCTGTCTGTAGAGAAAATGTCTATGTGCAGCATTTCCCCCACGTGCGATGGGACTGGCGTTTCGCCGAGTTCCTGTTTTTTTGGATGTCTGTCATATTTGGCTCTCGCGCATGTCGTACAGTTTGAGACGATTTCGCTGGCCAATTTTGTCATCTTCGGGAAGTAGTACTCGGAGAGCACTTGCTTCACATTTTCCTGGGCCGATCTATGGACCCTATTATGCTCAGCTGTGATAATTTCCCGCCTCTCAGCAACTGCGAAAATGTCTGTTACTTGATTTTTGCAGTACCAAAATGTTGTTGCTGGAAATTGTCGCACCAGCTGGTCCTGTACCATGGCCAACGTGTGTAGGTCACAATGGATGGCGTTTACGCCATTAGGAACGATAATATCTGCGATTTCTCTGAGCAATGATTCTTTGCATGAGAAGCTAACTAAGTGACGCCTTTTGTTCCCAAACAGTATGAAGCTGCGTTTCGATGGGGAGCGCGCCTCTTCGAGAACCAATTGATTCTGGAAGCAATTCAACGGTTTGTCCGTAGAATCAATGGTGTGGGTCAGGGAGAGTTCGCTGTGTATCGTGGCTATGCATGATTCAGCTTCCTGCTCTTCCATGGCATTGAGTTGTTGTCTAGACAGCGCGTCCGCGATCAAGTTCTCTTTGCCAGGCTTATAAAAAATACGTGCACCTGACTCATCAATGCGCGCCTTCCACCTCTTGATTTTAGCGTTCGGATTCGACTCCGAGACCGCAAAGGTTAAGCGCTGATGATCAGTAAAGATATTTATGTCTTTTACTGCGTACAGATAGTCCCGTAATTTGGCTAATGCCCAAATAA